GTACAGACAGGCGCTGAAGAACAGGCGGGCAGCTTCCGCAAAGGACGCCGACCGTTTTAAAAACCCGCCTGCCGCCCGCCTGCTCCCTGCCCGGTGTGCTGACCAAGGGTTGCCACCACACGTGAGAGGGGGCGCGCCCCCCCTCGCCCCCAAAGAGACCCCCGTGCCCCCACCGTGGCCTTGTTGCCGAGCGTGGCTGTGGGCGCGACGACGTTGTCGTAGCGCGAGGGCTGGGACCCCGTGAGGTGCAGCGCCGAGTCCGGGGCAGCCACCTGGCGGCCAGGCCGCGAACGCGACAAGAAGAGGTGATGCTCAGACCGCGGGGTGGGGGGCAGACCAAAAAAGGGGGCAGATGCAGTGGGGAATCACGTTGAGAGCGGCCTGCAGCTGCAGTAACGGAACACATGCGCAAGGGTTTGAGCAGGGGAGGGGCGCCGCGGCGGCTGAGCGCACCTCCCGGTTGATGTCGCCGTAAGCCTGCAGGGTGTTGACGCGCCCGCAGAACTTCCCAAGCGGCGCCATGTACACCGCCACCTGCCCCGCCGTGGCGTCGCTGCCGCCGCTGGCGCCCGCGCCGCGCGCCGCGGCCGCGCCGGCATGGAAGCGCCGCATGTAGTCGGCGCCCGGCAATAGCTCCTCCTCCTCCCCGCCACCCGCCGCGGCGCTGCCTTGCCGCAGCAGCCCGAGCCCGCCGCCGCCCGCCACGCCCACGCCTGCGGCCGCGCCGCCCGCGGCAGAGGGCGCTTCGGCGGCGCCGTTGCGGTGCGCGGCGGCGGCGTCGGAGGGGCGCTGCAGCTGGTGGCGGCAGAGGGCGGGTATGAGGTCGAGCTTCACACTGCTGAGGCTGGGCTTTGAAGCCAGCAGCTCCAGCGCCGGCCTGAGGACGGCGATCGAGAGAGGAGCGGAGGGTTGCAAGTGGTGAAGGCGAGACTGCCATGCGGTTGATCGGAGTGAACAAAGGGGAGGAAAGCGAACACACTGCCGGGACATGTACGAGTGCTTGCAGAGGAAAGCGGGCGCTCACCGGCAAACTTATGCACGCGCGCGAACACACGAGCGCACACGATCGTGTATCGCCCCCATCTCACACACACAACTGCGCACACGCACGCACGCACGCGCACACACACACACACACACACACACACACACACACACACACACACATGCCACACGCACGTGCCCACGGGCACACACACAACGGGACTCCACCACCCCCGCCCCACCTGCTGAGTATGTAGAGGTGGTGGTCTATGAGGTCAGACCGCAGCTCCACCCCGCCGTGCCGCTGCACCGCCGCCAGCGGGATCTTGAGGTCCCTCAGGCTGTCGGGGTGCGACGCTGAGAACAGCAGCAGCCGCTGAGAGGGGTCCAGGCCCAGATAGTCCACGCCCTTTTTGGAGGGGGGGGGTGGGGGGAGAGAGAGCGAGGAAGAGAGTGAGGG